TATGGCGCAACGAAACGCTCTCACAGCAATCTGCTGGATAACTGACGGAACCGTATCGCGCTCGTTCCTCGCTACTCGAACTGCGACACCTGGCGCCCTGAACTTTGAAACACTTCTAATATCGAAACTGCTAAAACAAGTGATTCACCTGTCGCCAAAGTATCTGATGCATCACACTTTTACAAGAATTCTTTTATTGCCAGAATCCTTCGAAACTGTTCGTGTTATATATTTACCGAAAGCTGATTTTATTTCTCAAATATCGTGAAGCATATTAAACGCCCGCGTTCTGACTACTCTTTTACACAAATAAAATGAATTTGAATTTGTTGTGAAGAGTAAATTTAGCATATATCGAAACATATCGAAACATGTCGAAACATGCTTATAAAATTACACGTATTTCTTCTTTCTTTTTCCCCTTAAATAGGTTAAGAAATGTACATAATTTGTAACTTCAAAATATTTATTTCATGTAATATATTTTATCTTGAATTCAGAGAGAAGTTAAGATGCAATTAATCTAACGGGCATGTTTGAAAATATAATGGATAACTACAAATGACATTGCAGAACTTTGTAGGACTAGATGTTTTAACTTCTCACGGTATATTTTGCAGTAAAGGAGATGCTATATATCGATGACATAAGTTTGCACTTTGCTTTACGATGAATTATGTTACACGCTGTTATATAACTACACACGCACTGTAACATGAAAATTAAGTTATATGAACAACTTTGCAAGTAATTTGTGTAGATTGTTAAAAATTTCTTGTAAAAATGGAATTATTTTATCATTGTTAAAGAATAAATTTACTAATTGTCAGTAATTTCTATAGCATTTGCAAGCAAAATCACGGTCAGCACATCATAATTAGAAACACATAAATAAATGTGACAGCCAATTATACTTGAACATTATAATTTGCAAACATAATGTGTATCGAGAAACTTTTACTATTATATATTTTTAAAAATGAATTATTACTATGTTTTGTAGATTTAACAAAGGTTAAATTTAATTTAATGTTGAATTACCTTACAAAGGTTAACTTTGCTTGTTTTAACAGGACTAGAAAGTTTTCAATGAATTTCTTAAATCTAAAGATAAACTTTATATTTAATATCTCAATTTTCAAATAAATGACAGCAGATTCTCGTTCATACTATACGTATGCGCATAGTATGTATGTATGTATCTTCGAATATTTTTACTCCAAAACTATATTCATATTCTACTTTTGTATCTACTTTTCTTTCATATATTTTATATATATGTATCTAAATTATATTTGTATTATTATTTATATATGCAATTATTAATTATCAAACAATTTAATAACACTAATAAATAAATATCAAATGAAAATTTTAAAAAAGCAAAATAATTCATATAGTATGTTGTAGATGTCGACACCATCGAGTATTTTCTTTAACGAAACCAGCAAATCACGTTCGAGAATTGAATAAGAAAGTTTGATCCTAATGTTTATATCCTTTATTGGAGTATTGTTATTGACATTTTGGTAGTTATAAATTTTTTTTTTTTAATTCTTTATTTTATCTTATCGGTTCAATATTACGCGATATATATCTGTAAATGTCGCTTTGCGTTTCGGTGTAAGCCGTTAACAAAATCGGAAGCGTCGTTTTCCGTTTCTTTCACAGCTGATTCTACACTTGATGATGTTTGTTCGATTCAGTGAATCGATATTTGTACAAATAAAGTGGGACTTTATTTGTGTCATTAATTAAGCTACTAGAATTATATTTTTCGGCTTTATTAAGAAATTAAATAACCGAAATGGAGTCCGCGGGACAAAATCAAGTGCAAAATGCTTCCAATAATAACGATGGTTCTGAAAACAAGGGAAGGTGAGATTACATTACACGATATTTCTTTCAGTTACACATATTCAATTTTCATAATTTTATGATATTCTTGAGGTCATAATTTTACAATATATTTTCCATTATTTCTATATCTATATGTTGAATGGAATTTCTGATTAGTGAATATAAACAAATCTTTGTCTTTTGTAATTTTGATTTTCTTGAAGTAATGAAACATTATTTTCTTGTAGTTGTTTGTTACTCAGATATGCTAGTCAAAATTCTTTGGATGAAAGTTCACAAAAACACATACCCCGTGAAGGTGGAAAAGATAAACCACCATATAGAAATCATCATCATACAAATCGGGCATTTGATGTTATTAATGAAATGCGAAAGTAAGAAATATATACTGCTTATTTTATCGTATATGTATTGTATTACTATAATATAAAAGATATGTCATAAAAACCCAAAAAAGAGAAAATTACATCAGAGCCTCTTTTTGGATTATTTTTATCATCTATATAAAAAATAATATAATAATAATAATATACTAAAAATAATATAATTATTTATTAGGAAGAATTTATTATGCGACGTAATTTTGGTGGCAGACGGGGGCTTAGAAGTACCTGCACATAAAATGGTTCTGGCTGCTTGCAGCCCTTATTTTTATGCTATGTTTACAAGTTTTGAGGAACGAGATCAAGAAAGGATAACGTTACAAGGTGTAGATTATTCTGCACTTGAATTACTAGTAGATTATGTATATTCTGCAGAGGTTCATGTAACTGAAGATAATGTACAAGTATTATTACCAGCTGCAAATCTTTTGCAACTAACTGATGTTCGAGATGCTTGTTGTGATTTCTTACAAGCTCAGTTACATCCGTCAAATTGTTTAGGAATTCGTGCATTTGCTGACCTTCATGGTTGTCTAGAATTATTATCACATGCAGATAGCTACATTGAACAACATTTCTCGTAAGCACTAAAATATTGTTATTTCTACACAGCCAAAACATCTTTTTACTTTAAATATAAATATTCTATTACATATAGGGAAGTAGTGGATGGTGAAGAATTTTTAACATTAGCACCACAACAAGTAGCTAAATTAATTTGCAGTGACTGCTTAATGGTACCTTCTGAAGAAAAAGTGTATGAATGCGTAATATCATGGGTACATCATGATTTAGAAAAAAGACAAGCTGATTTAGCACAATTAATGGAACATGTACGCTTACCTTTATTATCTCAAGAATATTTAGTACAACGTGTAGAGGAAGAACCACTTCTTAAAGCAAATTTACAATGTAAGTGACAAAATATATGCCAAACATAAAGATGTGACAACTTTTATTGTCATAATTTAATGTAAGAGACTAAACTATATAGATTTTTCATTTTATTATAGGTAAAGATTTTTTGATCGAAGCTTTAAAATATCACCTTCTTAAAGGAGAACAAAAATCATTGTTCAAAACTCCTCGTACAAAACCTAGACAACCTAAAGGTTTACCAAAAGTGTTATTAGTTGTAGGAGGACAAGCTCCAAAAGCAATTAGAAGTGTAGAATGTTATGATTTTAAAGAAGAAAAGTGGTACCAAGTCTCTGAGTTACCTACACGTCGTTGTAGAGCTGGTAAATAACATTCCATATTTTGAATGAAACCAATGTATAATGATTCCCTATAAATTATTATATAATGTTTAACATATAAGTTTATTTTCTATAAATTATTATATGAAGTTTAACATATAGGTTTATCCGTCCTTGGTGGCCGTGTATATGCTGTTGGAGGATTTAATGGATCTCTTAGAGTACGAACAGTAGACATTTATGATGCAGCTACAGACCAGTGGTCACCTTGCCCAGAAATGGAGGCAAGAAGATCAACGCTTGGTGTAGCAGTTCTTGGAAATTGCATATATGCTGTAAATAGTTTATATATTACATATATGCAATGTTGTTAATTTTGTTTATCAATATTTCTTTGTTATTTTAAAATACTAGGTTGGTGGATTTGATGGATCAACTGGTCTTAATTCTGCTGAAGTTTATGATCCAAGAACACACGAATGGAGGTTAATTGCACCAATGTCAACACGTAGAAGTAGTGTTGGTGTGGGTGTTGTTAAGGGACTATTATATGCTGTAAGCTTATTAATAAAACTAAATCAATTAAATAATGAGACGATATAAAAATGATTGCAAATTACATTAAATACTTAAAATTGAAAATTATTAATTGTAGGTTGGTGGTTATGATGGGGTATCCAGACAATGTTTATCTAGTGTCGAATGTTACAATCCGGAAAAAGATCAATGGAAACCAGTGCCTGATATGTCGGCACGTCGCAGTGGTGCTGGTGTTGGTGTTTTAGATGGTATTTTATATGCTGTAGGAGGACATGATGGTCCACTGGTCAGGAAAAGTGTAGAAGCGTTCAACCCAGATACTAATCAATGGACTCCAGTTAGTGATATGGCTCTTTGCCGCAGAAATGCTGGTAAATACCTTTATTTTAGTTTAAGTTATGAGAATTGATGGAGATATCCTTACAAAGTATAAAATTCCAAAAATACATTAATACTCTTCGTTTTCTCTTATAAGGGAAAGTTATAAAGTTACAAAACTCTTTGTATTTTTTAAGATAAAACAAAATTCATAAGATAATATGGAGTCTGCTTTTATTTTTGAAAAAGAAATGTAAACATTTTGACGCATAGATATCTATATGACAAGTTAAATTCTTTTTTACAAAAGTATGGAAATATTTGTGTTCTTTAGGTGTAGTTGCGCTAAATGGTCTTTTGTATGTGGTCGGTGGTGATGATGGATCATCCAGTCTGGCATCAGTAGAAGTATATTCTCCAAGAACGGATACTTGGACAACTCTTCCAACTTGCATGGGAATTGGTCGCAGTTATGCAGGAGTAGCAATAATCGATAAACCCATGCCGTCTACAACATCGATGTGAGGATTACAATCCGCTGGGCACATATTAGAGCAAAATACAGACCCGGGTGCCGAAACGTCGGATCAATCACGGGAAGCCGGGCCCAGCGGTATCCAAGTCCAGAATTCAGACCAGAATGTACTTCAGCAATATCGTGGTGCTGGGCATAACTGCCAAGGTCTGCGTTGTGTATGTCAGCGATACGAAAATGGTGAGGTAGCTGCTGCAGTTATGAATCAGAATAGGAATAATCAAGAAAGAGATGACAGCTATCAGAACATAGGCCGTGGTTCACGGGGCTTCCAAAATCGACCTGGTGGCTCGGTTCAAATGCACTCAAATCTCAATCCAAACTATCAAAATCCAGTAGATTTAGTTCATAATTACAATCGTAATCGACAACTACAGGAACCAGAAGAAAATATTTATGAAAGACTGGATAATGACGACGACGACGACGATGAAAATACTGAAAATAATAATGAAGTTGCTCATAATGAACCCACGGTCCAAAATAATCAGGATGACCACACATATGAAAGAATAGACGACCGGTATTCTTGTGGTAGTAGAACGTATCCTCGTTGCTATAAATACCATATTTTAAATCAATATATTCCAAGTTTTTTAAACGACATGGAATCTAGAAATCAGTATGATCAGCCAAGACAATTTTATCTAGATTCATCACGATTATCTAATCAATTTTGTCAGAATAGATTAGGTAGGCTAGGTCGTAACTGTTTTTCGACAGAAAATATTGCTTACGCGTCAACTGGACGTGCCATTTATCCATTCGGTTATAACTGCATGTGTTCATTTTGTAGACATATAGATACAAGATATTTGTGTCATCATTGCCATAATTTGCATAATAGATTACGTTATCAAGATGCATTTGGAAATAATTCTAGACATTACATATATCAGTTACCAAGGAATTGTCGATGCCCCTTTTGCCGCGGTGAATACTCTTATGTAAAACTGCCTGTTACATCTTGCCGACCTGCTGAATCATCGAGGACGGAATGTCATTGTAGAAATCCTAATAATTGTTCTTGCAGAGGGAAAGTTCTACCCAATTCTAACTCTGCTGCGCAATTTAGCAAATATCTTGATTGGATTAGTAGAGGTAGTCCATCAGTTAATAATCCACTGTATGCTACAGTTCATATTGGTAGACCCTGTGTTTCAGCTCTTGGAAGTACAACTGGTGGAGGAAATTTATTCAATAACGTAGATCCTGGCGCTTCGACGTCAAATGCATCAGCATCTAGTACATTATCAAATAATGAACCTAGTACATCAAACATTAGATCTATGTTTTCTTCGCATAATTCTTCCACTACGCATCCTTCTGTTTGTTCAGTTAATCGTTCAACAGAACGTCAACATACGTGTGACGATTCGTGCATTAGAAATCAGAGTGGAAGTGTTACTGGCATTTGTCAGTTTCTTGGTAGATGCGAAAGAGCAGAATGTAATCATGGTAGATTATCTGTGCATTGGTGGTTCATACATAGGTGGTTGCCAGCTTGGAATCCTCATTATTTTGATAGAAATATGGACACTGTTCCTCCAATGGAAGAAGAACCTCAAGAGCAGCAAGGAAGTGATAGTGATGATACTTAATTCCAGAATTTCTACTGCATGATACTCTTTATATCATCAAAAAACAAAAATTTTGTTTATATTTTGATATATGGATTTGTTGTCATGTATTAATTTCTCATAAATATTATTTACCATTAGTCATGAAATATGATTACTAAAGTAATACAAGACACAATATCTTCATTGTATTCCTTTGTTTGTAAGAAAAGGATAGTGATAAAACTGAAAAGTGTTATATTTTGTGATATCTGATTAAAAATACGCTTTTCTCAATATTAATGATATTGATCATAGTACATGTAATTTTGTATCTATTCGTCTATTCGTCTTATTAACAAATTAGTGATTAGAAAAGAAAAATATTTTAGTGAAAAATTATTAGAAGATTATCAGTTCAAATTAAAACATTTTTTAAGAAGTATAAATATTGAAAGAATTTCAATGCAATTTCAAAATTCATGCATATACTGACAATAAAATCGCTTTATATGTGCATTGAGAATTCAAGATGCTCTTACTTTAATACATATAAATATCAGTCACATATATGTTAAAAAATATAAAATAGATTAAATATAATAATGATTATTGAGGTTTTATTTCATCAATGCAACTTTATATAAACTTAGGAACTACTTCAGTTAATGATTTTTTATTCATTTATAACAATTTTAAACAATAGATGATAGTTAAAGCAAATTTTATTATTTTAATTTTAATGAATAATTTTAAGTGTTACATATTCTATATACATAGAATATATACATACATATAATATAGAGAATTATAAGAACATAAGAATTGTATAAAAATTGTAATTTTTATAATTCAATTTCGTATGTGTACCTTTTTTGGGCATCGTTGTTGAACCAAAGAGAGAATGCTTTTGTCATATTTTTCAATTTTAGTATTTAAGATCTTTCGAAGCAAATCACAAACGCATTCTTTCAATAACTGAAGAAATGAACAAAATTAAGATCATTATTCATTATTTTTAGAAAGCGTTTTATATTCAATATTGCGGTAGAATATGTTAAAGGTGGTAAGTTTTAATTTAAATTTGATAGTTATTGTAAGTACAAATTTGTAGCAATTATTATTATAAAGAATGACGTTAAAATTAATGAAAATCTTTTTATACATGCGATTTATGTCTTAGAATAGGAAACATATATTGACTTATACTTAAATACAAAATAGATATGTTATTAGTCAGTATTAAGTTGTCCTTGTAAAGTTTTACTCTTCTAAATGAATTTTCTGTTTTTCTAACACTGTTCAATTATATACTAATCATTGATTTCAATGATTCAGTAAGTTTAGAGATATAATTGAAAATAAATATAAATTTACTGTTGAAAAATTTAAGGCAATTATATTAGGTTTATCAAAGTAAAATGTAGTGTTTAAACTTGTAAGGACAACTTTACACATATCTTTGAATATGTTATAACTTAGAAATTAATCCTTAGGTGGGATTTATAACATTTTTGCGCCTAACATATTAATTTTTAAGGAAACATGTTGGATGAGTTTCTTGAATTATAATGTAAGGAAAAATACCAGATAGATTTGCCAAATGTATATTTATTTTTTCTATTTTATAATTAATGACTATATTAAGGCACACGTTCAATTAAATAAAATATGTTATTATACAGAATTCTCTATGTAAAATTATTTTTTTCAAATATTATAAGCATGAAGATTTAAACATCAAAATTATTATCTTCAAGTTTAAGTTTAATTACCTATAAATCGATTGAAATAGAATATCTATATTCGTTGAAAATTATATTAAGTACACAAAGCTTTTTCATAGAGGTTTTTAATCGGTATTTATATACAGTTGTTTTTAAATGTTAAATTAATTTGTTTCTATTTCTGTTATGAAATAGAAAAATTTAATTTTTGTTTACTAATTTGAATGATTAAAATTTTTGCAAAGAATTATAATCGTAACACTATGTTATACAAATTATATTTCGCAAATCAATACTTATATAAAATATTTTTGTTGTGAGAAAAATTTATTTACAATTATTGGTTTATGTTTAATAAAAATAATACAATTACAAATAATAGAATATATATCAAAATATCTAATAAAATTAGTTTAGTTTATCGTATAATATAGTTGTTTACTAAAATATAATTCTATTAACGTTTTTTTATTTTAATTTTATTATAAAACAATAAAAGCGAAACAAATAGTAGGTAAGGCGTAGATATCAATAAATATATAAAATAATAACATAACAATATTTGTTTCCTATATACAAAAATATAAATTACTTATAGTTTCGCTTACAATTAGCTTTCTATTGCAGCAAGTAGAAACATCAAAATGCACAAATTACAAGAAGCATATTATAATATATCGTGTTCAAATTGCAATACAATTAGTATACATCATGACGCTTTTGCAAGAGTAAATGTCTTTACAATCGATATACATCTATAAGCACTTTAAGAAAAGTTGATCACTCCCCCATAAGCGAAGGCCAACTGCTATCACTTTGGTGTTACAATAGTCCTAATATCGATGTATTGTTATGTGTAGTTAAATCTGATTGTTATATATTTTTTTTAATTTATCGCATGCTGAAAATAAATTAGTCATATAAAAATTCGCCGTCTTAAGAACTAAAGTGAACAGAGCTAAATTACAAATCATTTAAACAGGAATAAGCGCTGTCTGCTTGTGTGTGTGTGTGTGTGCATGTTCCAGTCAAAAGTAATTTAAATATTTTGTAACACACATATGGATACATAAATAATTTATAGTTGAGCAAAGATTTGTCCAGAGCGTCGAACTCTGAATGTCATTTGGGGTGTGGTCGTTGTGACATTTCCGTCTTGGACTTACTGCGAATTCGCACGTAAAGCCTCGTAAACGAAATTTATGCGCGCAGTTCACTGAAACTGTTTCGGGATGGCCGATGCACAGATAGATGATCCTCTTTAGAAGGTTCGTCTCTTTGTGCACCACCAACGACAATGATCTGCAAAAACGATGAATATTTCGTTTTATCACAGAAACAATGTTATTAATACTCGAATGACGATAAACGCTATTGTGTTTCTGACGTTACACAGTACGGTACACGGTTAGAGAACTTGTGTATCTTGGCACCACGGGTATTCAAGTACATATTACGGGTGTGGTTCTCATGGTCAGACGCGCTCAGATACGACGATACTTTATTCGAGTATTGGTTTAACCCTTCCTGCACTGAGAATCTGGCATTTATTTTCATCTACATTTTCGTTTGCTACTATTCTATTAAATTTATTTACTTCTACATTAACGATTTGAATCTTTGCAAACAGCTTTCAGATCATTTGTTTATTTTGAAGAAGCTGTTGGAAATTCTGGGTGCAAAATTATATGTTGTATAGGCAAAAGTTGCTACAAAGCAATAAACAGCGATTTCTAATTCGAATCAATGTCTGAACTCGCTTGATGCTTAATAAGTGGATGGTAAAAAATTAAATAAAGCCTTTAAATTGTTAAGTTTCTATAGCAAGCTTCTTTTGTGTTATCTAGAAATTTGTAATTTCAATTCCCTCAAATTGCATTCGATAAGTAATTAGCAAAAGTTAATGTAGTATCGCTTTTTACGAAATAATATTTAATATTTCTACGAACGCAAGATAAATCATTGACAATTTATTAACATCGTCCAAGTATCTTTATTTAACTTCAAACAATGTTCATTTTCGTTAAATTCTTATGTTTACGCAAGATATCGTTTTGGCTGCACTTATCGTATTGACAGAATTCCATAATCAGCGACGATGTTGAAGACTTATCGCAATCGTAACACATATGATAAATGTTTTCAGTGAGGTTACTTTTAAAAACGTTATTTAACATAAATGCACGTTGGAGAATACCATACATGAATGGTTATGTACCTTGCCAGTGTGAAATTAAAGCGAGGAGAAAGGCTACGTTCACCTTTTCTCTGATATCGATAATGTTTGCATTCCGGTCAGTAATCAAATTTTATATTCTGACTCATGTACATTTCTTAAGAACGTATATATAGCGATTACTGTAAAATGTAATATCTATGTTAGTACAATTTTTATACGTTTCTTGATCGTGTGATCCGGATGTACTATAATGCTATATGTATAGTAGGGTATAGTAGAGTATTTGACCATAATCAAATATAGTTTCGGAACACTTACGTTTAATATTTATAACAGAAGAGAAGCACAAGTTTCTTGCGTCAGAATTGTTAATTCATTATGATCGATGGTCGGAACGATAGTTGAAGTATGTGGGCGTTGGTCCTATGCTTGTCACCTTCGAATTCCGATCGGTCTGAAATAAACAAAAAAAAAAAAAAAACTAAAAAATTTTTAATATA